ATGTGAACGGTTCGGATTATTAAAACGAACCCCGAAATAATCCCATAGGGCCGCATAGCAGGTACCCCAAATCCACTCCCAGTACATTAGCAACCATAACCAAACCTTTGGACCAACACCCAACCACCATTCTTAGCCTTTTTTTGTCACTATTACGACCACCCTAGCCTCTTCCTTTCACCGCCACGAGTTTCACGTTTTAGTTGTATTGCACCCTTAGTGCTTAGGGTTACATATCACAAACAAAGAATTAGGGTTTTCTACGAGATGAAACCAGGCATTTTCCCTTCGTTCAACAAAGAAGAACCAAACACAGGTCAATGGTTTGACATTTATTGTTTGAACGAGAGAAATGAAAAAAAAAAAATATAAAAAAAAAAAAAATAGGGGTGCAGAGAAGAGATGAGGTGAGGTGATTTGTTGATGGAATGTGAGAAAGGCATCAAGGTAAAAAAGGGTAGGTAGTGAAGGAGTTGTACAGGGTTAGAGGAGGAATGGAGTGCAAAAAAGTAAGGAAGGTAAGGAACTTGTAGAAGGGTATTAGAGAGAAGAAGGGGTTGGAGGTTTGTTAGGGAGTTGTAGAACGATTGGAAAGCGGAGGAGAGGAATTAAGGATGGTAGGGGATAGAAGAGAGGGGGTAACATGTGGTGGTGCAGTAACGACAATACAATAGGTGGTCAGTGGTGGGAAAGGATGAGACAGGTAGAGCAAGAGGTGGGTGGGTTGAATGCGAGGTTAGGGTTTTGAAGTTAAAGATGAGGATAGTTTTGGTATTAGATGGATTTTTAAAATTTTACAAATTTCAAAATTATTTAGTAGGGATCCAAAATATTAGGTGGGGGCATTTAGAAGGTGCCCAACTTTTTAACTATTTTATTGAAAATAACTAAATGGCCCATGATGTAATGCATTCTAAGCCCATTTGTGGCTAAAGTGCATTGGCCTTTTTGATAACATCAAAAAAATAATTGTAGTCTGTCCATTAGGCTTTTGACAAGGAAAAATAAGCCAGTGCCTAAAGTGTGTGTCCGTTTTTTTTTTTTTTTAAAAAAAAAAATTAATTTTTAAATTTTTAAAAATTAAAATTTAAAATTTTAAATATTTTGTTTTTTGTTTTTTTTTGTTTTGGTTTTTTTTTTTTTTTTTTGTCCATTTGGGTTTGCCAAAAACAGTTGAAAATTGGGTTTTTTGAAGCCTGATGGTGTTTTTTTCCCGACAAGAACTTTTAAGATCAGTTGAAATAATAAATTATTGACCATCAACTCATTAAGTTATTACAAAGTACTAGAACCTCTATTTATACGCATTTGTATACATAGATATACTATAAAGGAGTCATCTACATGAGTGTTTTTTGAATCGACAGATACAGATCTATAGGTGTGGTATAGTTGAATTTTGTAGTTGCAGTAACTACAAAAAAAAATAAGTTTTTAGAGACTAAAATTTAAGGATAAAATTATTTCTTAGGGACCAAATATTTTTGTTGCGAAAAGTGTCATTATTATATTTTTAGCAATGAAAATTGAACATTAGTGATGAATTATTATCTTTTTAGAACCAAATTTTTTGTCTCAAAAAATAAATCATTTTGAGACCAAATTATTTTATCTCTAAAAATGTATTTATTAGTGACATTTTCAAAATTTTGTCTCTAAAAGCTTTATTTTTAACTTTTTGGGACGATCTTTTAGCGACTATCCTCACGACGATAGAAATTGGTTCCTAAATGTCTTTTGTAACAAAATTTTCACTTTTAGAGACCAACAAATTTGATTTATAAAACTCTTATATGTTATAGTGAGTTACCGAAAAGTATTTTGAGAAAGCAAAAAATTGTAATATTTTGTGTGCATACCAATTGCTTGTAGGTTTTATATAATAGTATAGATATTTATTAGAGTGACACAACCTGTCAAATTAATTTTGGTATGTAGGGGGAGGTGCTTGTGGATATGGCCCTGTTGCCGCACAACCTCCCTACTCAAAAATGGTATCAGCTGTAGGCTGTTCTTTATTCCAGGCATAGGATGTGGGGCTTGTTATTAGGTGCAACTAAAGAGAATCTGAAACTAATATTTTCATTACACCAAATAGCTTCTATACAGTTAGTTTTATATACAACAAATGTAACTCTAGTTACTAAACCTAAGGTACAGTTATAACAACTTTCTAACTAACTAACACATCACTATATGTAACACATGCACCACTATCTCTAACTGATTTGTAACAGATTTGTATAGCTTCTGCTGTATCAATCTGCTGCAGAAAGGAGCTCAGCTCTGTGGCTTCACCTACAGCTCAACTTCTCTTCTTCTGCAGCTATAGGCTGATCTGTAGCTGCTGTTGCAGAGACATTATCAGCAACAACCTCTCTTGGTTTTATTATTTATTTATTTTGGATTGCTTTCTAGTTAGTAATATTGTTGGAAAACATTTATTTGGTAACATTTATATTTAAAATTTATTATTTATATTTATACATAAAAATTGAAAATTATAAATAAAACTCGTTTGACTTCATTTTTCACTTTCAAAAACTGGTAAATAGTTTATAAAAAATTTACTAAAATATTTGTAACCACAAAATGTTGGGTTTACTTGTTTAGTAAATGAAAAAAAATCTCTTACTCTTCCTTCTCCCACCCCCTCCGACCACTACTCATCAATCAACACCATCGGTCACCATCAACAACCACATCTAATCACCACCAAGCACCTTGTTGGTGGAAACCAACTTTGGCTACCACCTCCAATCACCATCTTCGGAGGTCGACAATCACCTTACACCACCATCTCCGACTGCTATATGGCCCTGTTTGGTAGAGCTGTGGGAAAGTGATTATAACTTATAACCTAATAGCTTATACCTTATAACTGTGAACATAAACTGATTTTTGACTTATAAATTAAGCTTCTCCTCCCCCACTCAAAGAATAAGTTGATTTTTGACTTGCAAAAAGCTATAAGCTATATTATTAAGCTGAACCAAATACATCAAAATAGCTTAAATTAAGCTAAAAACTGAAATAAACTAGAAATAAGCCCTACCAAACATGGCCTATACCACCCTCAGTCATTACCTCATACAAAAACAAAATACCTCCTTGTGACGATAACTACCTTCAGCCACCATCTTTTATTGGAAATCATCTCCAAACATCATTTCCATCCATCAACAATTACCCTCAACTAAAGGTGTGCATGATGCGGCTTGCGTAGTTTGTGGGTAACAGTATAAACCAAATGGTGGATTGACGATTTCAAATCGCGATTTAAACAGTTTTGGACGGATTGAAAAATATTCTTAACTAATTATCAAGTATTTGCATAATATAACATTAATTTCCATAATATTATATATATATATATATATACTAGTTTTACATAGTATTTTTCACATATATAACTACTAATTTGTAATAAATTTTATATTTTAAATTTATCTCACACTCATTTTTACTTTGAT